TGTAGCTGAATCAAATGATAAAAGCATTGTCATTTATCAGTGAAAATCAAATTTTTTGGCAGGGTAGTGAATGTAATGTTTGATTTGTAACCTTGATGTTTCTTTATAAATTTTATATCCTTGCAGAACAAAGTGTTATGACACGCATGCGCACATATACCCAGAACTGCATGTGTCAACAGAACTAGCAGCCAGATTTTGCCATGCTCTGGTCTTGGTGAAATTGTTTCTTTAATTTAAAATCTGATATTGGTAATGGAGAGTCTGAAAATATACCTTGTTTAATTATTCATTACTGATGCCTTGAAATCATATGGTTTTTAGTGAGTTTCAAAAATAAAAATTAAGGAAAGTTGTGTTTCATTGAACTTTCTTACATGAGTTACTGTCAGAATTTCTGTCTGCAGCCTCTGTTGAAAGAAATTAACTTTCATTTTGTTGAAATTTTTAGAAATATGGAACAAGTAGTAGAACAAACTTGATGGTAATTTTTTTTACAAAAATAAACTAAAATTTATAACAAAAATACACCTATTTTTAAGTACATTTTTCTTTTAACAAATTTGTCTCCTTTTAGGGGCATTATTGTAATAATTATTTTCAGTGAAAATTGTTCCCCGACAAAACGGCACTACACTCAACACAACTTGTTTCAGAACTGAGTGATAAAGAACCATCCATATGAAGAATCCATATGAATTTCTATAACACCAACAGTAACTGTTACTATCATCGTCAATAACTTTGCTTGCAAATTTCAGATAAAAGTTTGCTCGCGTACCGTAGATTGAGAAATGCTGGCATAAATTATTTAGCACGTCATAAATAAAATTGGCCTCCTGGTTTCTAGGTCAATATTGTAGCTTTATTCAAGCAGCAGATGTGGCCTTGAACCATTAAGAGCTTGGTTTTCTTTATGTGTGGTATATATGCAAGGTTTTTCTTTAAAATGAGCACGCTTTGCACATAACAGGTACAAAGGAAAGGATTTTCTTTTAGTTAATTGAAAACTGCTAGTTATGACCCTTTTGATTGCCATTGCCAAGACTTGTCACAGACTAACACAAAATAAGATTATGTAGCTGAATCAAATGATAAAAGCATTGTCATTTATCAGTGAAAATCAAATTTTTTGGCAGGGTAGTGAATGTAATGTTTGATTTGTAACCTTGATGTTTCTTTATAAATTTTATATCCTTGCAGAACAAAGTGTTATGACACGCATGCGCACATATACCCAGAACTGCATGTGTCAACAGAACTAGCAGCCAGATTTTGCCATGCTCTGGTCTTGGTGAAATTGTTTCTTTAATTTAAAATCTGATATTGGTAATGGAGAGTCTGAAAATATACCTTGTTTAATTATTCATTACTGATGCCTTGAAATCATATGGTTTTTAGTGAGTTTCAAAAATAAAAATTAAGGAAAGTTGTGTTTCATTGAACTTTCTTACATGAGTTACTGTCAGAATTTCTGTCTGCAGCCTCTGTTGAAAGAAATTAACTTTCATTTTGTTGAAATTTTTAGAAATATGGAACAAGTAGTAGAACAAACTTGATGGTAATTTTTTTTACAAAAATAAACTAAAATTTATAACAAAAATACACCTATTTTTAAGTACATTTTTCTTTTAACAAATTTGTCTCCTTTTAGGGGCATTATTGTAATAATTATTTTCAGTGAAAATTGTTCCCCGACAAAACGGCACTACACTCAACACAACTTGTTTCAGAACTGAGTGATAAAGAACCATCCATATGAAGAATCCATATGAATTTCTATAACACCAACAGTAACTGTTACTATCATCGTCAATAACTTTGCTTGCAAATTTCAGATAAAAGTTTATTGTTATGCTTAAATAATTTCTAAAATATACTTAATTATGGATACTAATGAGATATTAAGAATTATTTTATTTTTAATTTGCATATTTAATTCTTCAAAGCCTAATGGTGCATTTGGTAAAAGCTCACAGGACACTGGTAGAGAACCTTAAATTATGGTAAAAGTATAAAAATGTGCAGTTCTAGAATTATGCTACTTGGCACTGATATACCGTGAAAGTTTTTTGAACATTGCATTGAAGAGGTCACTGGCAGCTCATATCCACATAGCGATAAGGCACTATCATTTATATCTTGATAGTAAGTCCAACTTCATTTGTATAGTCGACGCAGTAGTTTTTGGCCGGTGGAGAAGCTGGCGGACGGGCCTAGTCTGTGTACCTGAGGTGGCACGGTCAGTGTATTTCTTTTGTTTAGGCGTTGAGTCCGATAAGCTCCTCGGTGCAGTCAGCATTATTCTATTGCACAAGAGACTCGCTCCTAGCCTTCCCCTTGAAAATTCCACCGGCCAAAAACTTCTGCGCCGGCTATATCATGCAGTCGAAGTAACAGTCTGTATTTTCTTTTGATCATTTGTGCTTGGGATTGGTGTCAGTCACAGCATTTCATAAAAATTCCCCGTACCCAATGCCTAGTTTGTATATTTATTGTGCTAGTGCTCTTAAATCTGCAGTATTATAAAAATGGCATCCGTAGGTTGAACTTCATTTGTATTGCGTTCCAAATGCTGTATTCCATATTTTATTTTAAAATGGTAAATGAAGATGATTTTATTTTTGCTTTTCTCTTAAATTGTTGCTATTTTAAGTTTCATTATATCTTATTTTGTTATTATGTATGGGAGGACAGTATTAAAATGGAAGTTCAGAGAAATTGAATGTGATGCTGTGAACTGATTCATCCAGTTAAGGGCACAAACCAATTGTGAGCCCTCGTGAACGCAGTAATGAACCTTCAGGTTCCGTAAGAGATGGGGAATTTGTTGACTAGCAGAGTGGCTGTTGGCTTTTGAAGGACTCTGCTTTGCCAGTCTTCATAATTTTGCCCAAAGTTATAATTGTTTGGTGGATGGTAACACTGCAAGTATTTAATTGAATGTTTGGATTAAGATAGAATGAGAAGTTGAATCATATTTCATTGTTAACTGTTGAACTTAAGTGGTTCTCATTGTTAAATTTGTGAAATAATACAATATGATGTTATTTTTGTAAGAATTTTCTTGTAACTGATGAATCTTGTTATTTGGCATGATGATATATTTATGGAACAATCTTAGTAACGTGGTCTTTTGATGTTTGAAGGAAGTTAAACCTGTAGAATGTGTTGTATGAAAGTGATGCCAGTAATAATAATTGGTCATGGATGGGCATCTGCTTTTTCATTGTTCCTTTACTTCTGCATTTTCAGAGAATAGTGGTTATTGAATTATGCAGATATTATTTGGTGCTAATATTTCTGCAGACATTGAGTGTTCAGAACTTCATTGTGTAGTGGCTACCACTTGTAATTCATATGAGAGAGTTAAGGTAGGTCCCCGGTTCAGATCGCAGCCAGGGAATGGACTTTTCTCTTTGACCTGTCTTAATCTGACATTTGTCGCAAAGTTGCGTTTTGTAAACCCCTTACTGTTCTCGCTTATTGCTGTGATCTTAGCAGATGACACAGATTTTGAAAGTAACAAAGAAGAACAATGTCAATTTAAAGGTAAAGGTGATGCCATTATTGTAATTTTCTCTACTTCTGTTAAATTTATTCTTACAGTTTTGTTTTTATATGAACCTTCATTTAGCAGATCATGTGAAATTTATTTCCTGTAGCTTTTATTGGTGTTTTGAAATTTGGGATGCTTCGAGTCCTAACGCTAGTAAAGAAAATAGTTCAAGGTCACTTGCAGCATCTGCATCCACACTGGCTCGAGCTCACCCAGCCACCTATAGGTTGAGTACCGGGGTCCTTTCCCGGGGGTAAAGCGCAGCTGGGGCATGATGCTGACCACTCAGCCCTATCTAGTGCTGAGGTCAAGAATGAGTAGGAGCTATACCACCTCTCCTCCCAAGCGCCTACATGGTGTATAGATGGACAGCTTTACTTTAGTACTTACTGGCGCAATATTTTAAAATAGACCAACATAACTTTATGTGTGCAGGCCCAACAAAACCCATAGAAAGTTTCGATCAGGAGAATCAGTACTGTCAGACTCAGATTCCTTCCCAAGTACAGGTCGCGTACATAACTCATGAGCTAATCTGCTCAACATTTCCTTTTCAGTTTTACTTATACATATAATGCAAAGCTGACATAGACTCATCCTATTCAGACAAGTCTTCTGGTTTTCTTGTATATTTTTCTTCACGTTAAGACTTATAGAATCCTAGTGAAGAACTTCCTTGCCTGTGCCAATAACCTGCCTGTTCAACTGCAGTACTGTCTGGTCACCGGTGAGTTTTTGTAAACGCGGTGATGAGCCTTCAGGTTCCATATAGAAAATGGGCTATTTTATGACAAAATGAGTATACAGTCAACTTTTCAAAGAACTATAATACCATCCAGGAAAGTTTTGCAATCATACTTTTAAATCCTAAGACTTATAATTCAGTAATCTGTAAAAATAATATATTTTTATAAATTCCTAAAAGTAATAATACTTCAAGAAGTGTATCGATTCCTGTGTTTGAGAGCCATCTGCCTAGTGCAATATAAATGACAATAACAAATGCCCGATGCTTTTCCAAATCAGAAGTTTCTGACAGCAGGTTGGGAACATTTGCCCTGTTTTGACATTTGATTCTTTACTGCAGTCATGGAAACTTTTAAATATTACCTATTACCTCCTTTGTTAACCAACACAGTAGTATTTAATGAAAATGGTTTTGAGACATTAAATTGAAATAGATACAACGCAGAAGACGCCATTGTTGCCAGGATTTAAAATATAGGCTTTTAGAATCCGATTTGATGAAAAGTGAAAAATTAAGAAATTTCTGATTTTAATATATTTTCCATGCTTTCACATGAAGGACTGAAGAAAATTATACAAAAGCTTCTCAGAGTTTGTTATCATAGAGTCGGAAATGAAAAATGCACATGGTACCACAGATATCTGTATCATAGAAAACAAATGTAAAAGTAAGTATAATTATGAAATATAAACAAATTTCTTTAAATATTTATTTCTGAATATGTGGCAACATTTATACAAATAGATACAATAACACTGGATATAGCACCATGCAATTATGCTTAAGAATTATGGGACCTGAGAATTTTAAATTGACATCATGCTGATTTTTAACTTATTTAAACGTCATCACGATTATGATTGTATTTTTGTGACGTGAATAGTATTTTACTTGAATATCATTAAAACAACTTTTTTTCTCTCTCAAACTTCCAGATTCCTGGATATTCTCTTAAAAATGCAATGAAACAGTTCCTTAAAATGTTTGTCTCAGAAAAATTCATAACAATAACAACAACAACAACAACAATAATTTGTCGTCTACATAAATGTCTTGCAACTTCACATGATCACCACAATGTTGATTAGGATTCATGGAGTATGATTTAAAAAATATTTTTCAGCTGAAGCAAAATTATCTACACTAAAATATTATAGCATCATATTTCCATTATGATGTTTAAAACCTGTTTAATGTTGCACAAAGTTTTTATTTTATAAAAATAACCAGTTATTCTGAATGGTCAGATAATGTTTTTAAAATAATCTAAACTATATAATAAATTATCACATTATAAGAAATTTTAATAAGCTAAATTTCATGTATTCAAAACATGTGATGTATTTCTTCATGTATACTTTTAATTCAAATCAAACTCTAATCTTTATGTGATCACTTGTGCCCATAATATATAAATTAACCTTAATAATATGCAATTATTAAATGCCAGATATTCCCCAATTTTTACTATGCATTATCTAAGATGGGCCTAACTGACCTCATCTGCATATTAAATTTTTTCCAACTTTTTTAATCTCATAATACTTGCTACAATGAAGTTTATAATTGATTCTAATAAAATCACAAAATTGCACTACGTTTCGGAGATGGGACCCTATCTCCGTCTTCAGGTAACCTACTCTGTTGGGCCCACTCGATAGAGCTAATCCCTATCTCCGGACCAAAAATTGCACGACGTTTCGGAGGTTTTATTAGATGATGGAAAACATCCAGAAAACTTGTTATTTTAAAAACACACCATCGTCACAAACTTTTAAATCTGTGTACTTGAGAATTTGCAGTATTATTAAACCACAGTAACACAGTTTGAACTTTCATTATAGTTTTTTTAATTTTATTCACTGATTTTTCCTCAGTCTTCTCATTGAAGTTCACTCATAAGCCGTGTTGCGCAGATGATAAAGGTTACTATAGATGATTCTGGAGTATTCATACTATTGAGTTAAACAGTGGAGGTACAAGTGTCAAATAAGAAAAACATTCATTCCTACAGAAGCAGCTTGCGTTTACTTCGTGTCAGACGACTAGCAGAAACGTGTCTCAGTAAAATTATGTGGTATTAAATATATATGAAGAAGAAAGTGACATTTACATTTTCTTATACACGCAGATTTGTCTTCAGTTTCTCCTTAATATAAATATTCTTTTACTTTCTTCTTCTTCTGTAGCTTTCACAGTCTTCCATTTTTTCTTGCTGAGTAGAGATATTTTAGAGAAATATTCTGAAAAAACTGATACGTTACAGTCGCTTGACACTGCCTGCATTTACAGCTTAGTAGATGATTAAAAGTGCATTTAAGGTGTTTCGTAACGCAGTCCTCTGAGCAGTAATAAATTTACCACCTCCGTTGCCCTGATGATGGAGGCGGTAATAAGTCTTTCTTGTATTAAAAGAAACAGATACTGCTATTGAACTGTAAATAATCAAGACTCTAAATGATCAAGTTAATTTGTTTGATAAAATGAGGGACATTTTTTATGAGTGGGACGCAAAATTCTGACACGTAAAACTCTTCAGCAGTCTGAAAATTTTGTCTCGTAAATGGGAATATGCAATGCATTATGTAAGTTAACTGTAAGCTGTGATTGTGCTGTTATGTCACTTACGGACTGATACGGCTCGGTAAGTTTGTATACCGGCTGCAGTGATGCTCTGGAGCTTATATCACATCACATATAAGAACAGTACATATATCCATATGGCCTCAAAACATGACCTTAATGTTTATTCAATTTATATTATAATATGAAATGAACTATTAAATATTGATAGCATGTGAATTTTAATAACATTAATTTTACAGTCCTTTATTTATATGTGAAAGATATGAATTTATGTACTGCCACATTTCCCGTTCTACCTTATTTTGACAACAAATATAGTTATTACTAAACAATGAAACCCTTTCAATAACAATATTTGATTAAACACTTTCTTCGTTGTTTAATTTCATACAGCCAGTTTAAAATGAATGCAGTTTCACTGTTCAGTACCCTGCATATTCTCTTATCTTCATACAAGTCATTGATTGCAGTGAACCCATTTTTTTTAAACTTCCTACATTTCTTTAGAAATTTTGGGGGTCTGTGTAAAAGCCATAAACCATGAAAATCACTTGATAACACCATTTTGTGGTTGTGAGGCAGTAGATGAATTTATTTACAAATAAGTTCCATATTAAAAGAGAAGCTCATTTCAATATTTTGCTTCAATTTGATGTACCCAAGAACTAATCAGGATAATTAAAACGTGTTTAAGGGAAACCTCTAGCAAAATCGTGAAGGTAAACATTTGCCCGATACATTTCCTATTCAGAATGGCCTGAAACAGGGAGATGCTCTGTCACCGCTGCTTTTTAATTTTGCCCCAGAGTATGCCATCAAGAAAGTTGAAGAAATTCGGGGCGGTTTGGAATTGAATGGGACACGTCAGCTTTTGTTCTGTGCTGACGATATTAATCTGTTGGGCGATAATATAAATACTATAAAAACAAACACAAAATCACTTTTAAGGGCTGGTAGGGATGTTGGTCTAGAAATAAATGCAGAAAAGGCAAAGTATATGATCATGTCTCGGCATCAGAATTCAGGACAGAACCAGGATATAAGGTTAGCTAATGAAACATTCGAAAATTTGACAAAATTCTAGTACTTGCGGATGGCACTAACAAGTCAGAATGACATTCATGACGATTCAAGAGGATATCAAATTCAGGGGATGCTTACTATCATTCAGTCCAAAATCTTTTGTCCTCGCGTCTCATATCAAAAAACCAAAGATAAAATATACAAAAGTGTAATTTTGCCAGTTGTGCTGTATGGGTGCGAAACTTGGTCTTTCACTTTGAGGGAGAAACACAGATTGATGGTCTCTGAGAACAGAGTGTTGAGGAGTATATTTGTGCCTAAAAGGGAGGGAGACGGATCATGGAGAAAATTGCATAATTATGAGCTTCGTGGCCTATAATCCTCACCTGATATTGTTAGGGTGATTAAATCGAGGATGATGAGGTTGGCGAGACATGCGAGTTTACAAGGTATTATTTGGAAGGTGTGGAGGAAGGAGATCACTGCAAAGACCTAGGCTTAGGTGTTAAGATGGAATCTATGCAACAATTTGGATGCAGGTAGCTCATGATAGAGTCCGGTGGTGGGCTTCTGTGAACACGGTGATGAGCCTTTGGGTTCCATAAAGAAAGTGGGCTATTCTATGACAAGCTGAGTATACAATTGACTTTTCAAAGAATTTCCTGCGCCATAGGGTGGGTGGGTGAGTGAGTGAGTATTGTTTATACATACCATGTGCTCATATAAATTGTATGTGGCTCTCCTGTGTAACTGTTTTGTAATTTCTGATCAATGAAATGGATTTGTATTGAGAACACAATATGCATACACCAAAGTGTAAGATCGAAAAATGGACGTGAAGTCTCTGAAATGTTATATCATACATGATGATTCAGGAGGAAAAACTTTGTGGGTACTTTAATCAAGATATTTCAAAAAGGTCGTATTAACATGGTTCCAATTTATAAATGATGAGATTCGGGATAGTTTGAAAGTAAGATAAAAGATTTTCCAGAAAGAAAACAATTTCACAACTTCAAGGTCAAACTGAAAGTATTATTAATAACAAAACATGCTACAAAGTGCTTCGCTGTCAATTAAATTAATATTTGAGCATGGTATATCATCATACAATGCACTGCAGTATCCTGTGCGTAGCATTAGCAAGTTAACATTTTGAATGGTTTCTGTAACATCTTTCATTGGAGTTACTATAAAATTTTTAATTAAAATACCATATTTCTGGGAATATTTTTTCTTACTTTAAAAATCCTTAACCTGCCCAAATTTGACCCATTTTAAATTAACATTTTACTCAAAATCACTTGATTAATGAACCCACAAATTTTGATAAACTTCTCCTGAATCACTCTGTATGAGAAGGTTTCATGTCAATTAGAAAATAGTTACAAATTAAAATTATAATAAGAATGTAGCATAAATTGTATAACGTACAATGTTTTACTGCGCTGTGCATAATGCTGATGTATGTACTGGTTGTAGGTAGCGCATCAAAGTCTTATAGTCTCGTTTATCGAGATGCACAATCATCCCACAACAGCGTAGAAAAGAAAATTTGTTGCGATAATATAAAATTATGATTTTTTTACAGGCACTTTTGTCAGTTTTAAACAAAATTTTAAGTGACAGAGTTCGGAATCATAATTTAAATTAAGCAGTTCCTCAACATTGCTGGAATATTCAGCAGTGGCAGTAAGAGGTCATCATTGTGGTAAATTGATTTCATACTTCATTTCTTTCTTCCTAACCGGGCCATAAAAAAGAATCATGGCTAAGAATATTCATTGTGTAGCAAGTACAACAGGAATGCAATCCACATGTACCTCCACGACACAATTTTTCAATCGGTCATTCAGACTCCTTCCTGCAAGGCAGTTAATCAAATGTGTGGTCAACCGTCATATCACACTGAATTCTACAATTTTTTTTACCACGGTTTGTTTGTTAATAATTAATATGGCATTAGTGTTAAAAATGTCAAAAATGAATGTTATGTCATGTCATAAAATTTTTACAGTAATTTTAAAACTGATTTTCTTACAAAATATTTCACATGGCTGTAGTATGCCATTCCACCTCTTCTGTGCTGAGTTTCCCATTTTGTGGATCCACTTTGTCTGCATCTGAGTTTGGTTGTCCAAGTTTCAAGAGCTCCGACTTGCTTAAGTGGTCTACGATGCCTGCTCCTAAAGAGTCCCCCAGCACATTGACCATGGTACGGAAACGATCCCTAGAAACAAAGTGACGAGACTCGGTTGCAAATCAAAATGGCCTTCAGTCCAAGGTGAAAGAAATATGCCATGAATATTACACTTTGACTTTTGAATGACATCCACTTTGAATGTTTGGTGTCAACCAACGCTCCGGCAAACATTGCAGCTTCCATCTTCAAGGTGGATATGAGGCGGGGCCAGTTCTGAAGGCCTTCAGAACCCTATCATAGCCAAACACTTGTCAGATGTGATATTTCTATGCAAATTTTAAAAATATAAAATAAGTAAACAAACAACTATTAATTATAGTTATTTGTTTACTTATTTTATATTTTAATACACTACACAGTATGCAAAGTTTTAAGATTTAAAAAAAATAATTTACTGATATTTAGTGACTTTTAAACAGTATCAAACGTGTTGCTGTTTAACACTAACAAAGTCTTGGTCTCAGGTTTAATGATATTTGCATATTTAAATAAATGAAATAGTGGAGACACTAAAACAAGATATGTGGGTTAAACGTAACCTAAAATCAAATATTAATTTTGCACATCCGGTAGACAACCGGATGTATAAATTTGGAGTCAGGCTAACCAACTTCCGAATGTCAACATTAAATTATTTTGACTGGGAGTCAGTCATACAACCTATAAAACTTACAAGAGCCAGTCAACAGTGATGATGAGAGTGACATCTTCAGGTGGGAGACCAACAGTGTCTAGAACCATAACCATGGTTACCAGACCTGCCTGAGGGATGCCCGCTGCTCCAATACTGGCTGCAGTGGCTGTTACACTAAACAAGAAATTGATAATGACAATGAAACAAATGTAGAACATTAGAAAGTTGTATTGATGGAAAATTTCACTTCACTTCTGACTCTGTGAAGATCTTTTTCTGTTTTTACTAGTCTACTTCTGAAATCAGCAATCTATACTGTCAAAGTGGTTAGAGTTCAGTAAAATTGTCTAAAATTAGAATACTAAGTAAAGTATAAAAAGAAATTTGCTACCAAAGTCATATTGTCAGCACTGGAAAATATGGTGGATATAAATAATACAAACAATCCCTAACCTGTATCTTATCATATATTTTTGGCAGTCGTATTATTGTGATACATTTAACAATGCTGCTCCAATGATAGGATGCACCCAAAAAAAACTTTTTGACCAACATTTGTGTTTTTAAGGTTGTAAAACTAGTGACATTTGTAGGATTTGAGGTTTACATGGCAGTGAATCTGAAGATAGCTGTCTTCTGGGTTGTTGTACCATGTAGTCTGGTAGAAGTTTACTGACCTTTCAGAGGTCGTTGCTGCCTCCATCATCAGGGTGTTGACCCTGATGATTGGAGGCAGCAAGGACCTCTGAAACGTTGGTAACCTTCCATCAGATTACAAGGTGTAACAACCTAGAAGACCTAATTTTAACATAAAAACAGTCTGATAAATCAATATTAGGTGTAGAACTGGCCATCTGTAGTATTATAACCTATAGGTTTAAAATTTATCATATCAAAGCCCATCACCGTAAACAATCCTCTGACACATCTATCCACTCCTCCTCAGTGTTACAAGTGGTCGTCGCCCTCGGTGGACTAGTGGTTAGCGTGCTCGCCACTGGACCCAAAGTTCGCGGGTGATTAAAATCCGTAGACAACTTCCTTCGGAGGGGAAGTAAAGCCATCGGTCCCCATGTCGTAGATTTACGGCACGTAAAAGAACCTTATGAGCACGAAACGAGATGTTTCGTAAGCAAAATTCAGCGGCCATTTCTCACCCAAGTTTCTACCGATTCACTACTAGATGGCTCTGGCAGTTAAATCAGGATTGAGTAGACATTGCGCAGAGGCAGTGGGATTGTCACTCACTACTCACTTGCGCACTTAAGAGACAGAAACCTTCCACATGGGAGGAGGCCAAGGATCGACTTTGGGCTGTTGCGCCATAGAAGAAGTTGCAAGCGGCCAATTTACAAGCAGTTATCCGACCAAAACTGCAACTTCTTAAACTCAGAGTGTCTTATCATGTAGTAAAGTACCTGATTGCAAGTAGCTGCCCCAAACTGAGTGTCATATTGCGTACTTGTGAGATGAAAACAGCGGCCACAGCCTCATACAGTGCAGTACCATCCATGTTTATTGTTGCACCGATCGGCATAACAAACCGCGCGACTCTTGAATCGATTTCATTTTTTTCTTCTAGACAATTCATTGAAATTGGAAGGGTGGCATTGCTGAAACACAAACACACCATCGTTACAACAGTATTTGAATATTTATGAAATCTAACAAGTTGGCACAAGCAATAGCACTTCTGACTTGTCTTTCGTAAGTGCCCAGTTTGACTCCTGCCTGGCGTATTATCATTACTGAAATGAATCATGGTTTTCTTCAGACTCTAAAGGCAAATGCCAGGATATTACTTTTAAATACATCGCAACTGTTTCCTTTCCAATATATTCAGTTCTCTGAATGTATTATCATACATGATTTCTGTAATTGAAACAGATTCTTCCGTCCATTTATGAAGTGGGTATACGATATGGCACTGATGTTATTTTCACCAAACATGGTCTTATGCAGTATGAAAATTATTGTAACATGTATGTAATAAAGTTTTTCATTGGATATTACCAGATTATTTGTGCACAGGTAAAGGGAATGTGCAAATAAATAAGAAATATGGATAACCTAAAAATATTCACTGAAAATATTTTATTTTAAATAAAATATTTTCCATACAGCAAATAAATAAGAAATATGGATAACCTAAAAATATTCACTGAAAATATTTTATTTTAAATAAAATATTTTCCATACAGCAAATAAATAAGAAATATGGATAACCTAAAAATATTCACTGAAAATATTTTATTTTAAATAAAATATTTTCCATACAGCAAATAAATAAGAAATATGGATAACCTAAAAATATTCACTGAAAATATTTTATTTTAAATAAAATATTTTCCATACAGCAAATAAATAAGAAATATGGATAACCTAAAAATATTCACTGAAAATATTTTATTTTAAATAAAATATTTTCCATGCAGCAGAGAACCCTGTGAGAATCTCCCGATAAGGCTGTTTCTTTAAAAATAAATTATGCATACACACACACATATTTTATGTGTGGTTGATGTAACTAGAATGATTTAATTAATTTCTGTTAAATTTCGTAGAACTTTTCATTGTTTCATACAGGATTTTTAACCTCTAACATCAACGCTGTAATCATTTATAAATTGTCGTCACATCCCATTAAGATCCTGCAATTTTATGTCATTATACAGTGTGTGAGAAAATTGTAGTCATCGAACAAGAGACACGTAGAACACTCCACAAAAACAAAAAATGTAAAAGGATTAAATCCCCTGGAACATACCATCAAATGGGACCACAGTCTGAGTAGTTTCGGTAGCACAGAAACTGGTGGTTACATGAATGTGTGATGGCTGAAAGACGATGGAACCGGTAGGTGGTAGTCATGTATTAACAAGTGTATTTGATTCGAAGACCATAACAGTCTGGCTTACAGCATAACACATTCGTGCTGATGGTCTGTTTACAGTACACAGTACATGTGATGAGGGCAGTATGTATTCGAAGTATCTAACCTGCAGCTGCCACGTGTTGTGGAACACTAGTTTGAACCTGTCATAAAAGTCTGCATCTGCAGTACGCAATTTTACCACCAAGTAATGCATACTGCAAATGAGTTCCTTCCGGTGACACCAAACAAAGAAGTCGACTGATCTCGCAGGCCACCGCACCCAATCCATCTGCTAGGAAAATGCTCATTTAGATGCTGTTGGACTTACGCTCCAGAATGGACTGGTTCTGAAACCACTTATCATCGTGAACATCTTCAAGTTGTATTCGTATAACTTCTCACAGAAATACGTAAAGTCATTGAGACAGCTGGGAGTGTGGGTATAGCCACTGATATTGCTAATGGTATTGTCGCACAAATTAATGCCCCAGAAAACCCTGCGACTCCACCCACATCTTACATATGATATGTCCTGTGTTTACCAGTGGCTGCTGTGATTGTTGTTTCATCGGTCCACAAGAGTTTGTGTTCCCCACAAGCCACGGGGTTGACGATCATGAGGAATCGGCCTAGGACCTGCGTGTAATGGAGGATTAAGTGAACAGCATGTTGATCGAAGATTTCTGTCTTCTGGGTTGTTGCGCTGTGAAGTCTGGTCGATGTTAATCAACGTTTCAGCGGTCATACTGCCTCCGTCATCAGGGCAATGAGTATGAAGATTTCTGCCTTCTGGGTTGTTGCGCTGTGAAGTCTGGTCGATGTTAATCAACGTTTCAGCGGTCATACTGCCTCCGTCATCAGGGCAATGAGTATGAAGATTTCTGCCTTCTGGGTTGTTGCGCTGTGAAGTCTGGTCGATGTTAATCAACGTTTCAGCGGTCATACTGCCTCCGTCATCAGGGCAATGAGTATGAAGATTTCTGCCTTCTGGGTTGTTGCGCTGTGAAGTCTGGTCGATGTTAATCAACGTTTCAGCGGTCATACTGCCTCCGTCATCAGGGCAATGAGTATGAAGATTTCTGCCTTCTGGGTTGTTGCGCTGTGAAGTCTGGTCGATGTTAATCAACGTTTCAGCGGTCATACTGCCTCCGTCATCAGGGCAATGAGTATGAAGATTTCTGCCTTCTGGGTTGTTGCGCTGTGAAGTCTGGTCGATGTTAATCAACGTTTCAGCGGTCATACTGCCTCCGTCATCAGGGCAATGAGTATGAAGATTTCTGCCTTCTGGGTTGTTGCGCTGTGAAGTCTGGTCGATGTTAATCAACGTTTCAGCGGTCATACTGCCTCCGTCATCAGGGCAATGAGTATGAAGATTTCTGCCTTCTGGGTTGTTGCGCTGTGAAGTCTGGTCGATGTTAATCAACGTTTCAGCGGTCATACTGCCTCCGTCATCAGGGCAATGAGTATGAAGATTTCTGCCTTCTGGGTTGTTGCGCTGTGAAGTCTGGTCGATGTTAATCAACGTTTCAGCGGTCATACTGCCTCCGTCATCAGGGCAATGAGTATGAAGATTTCTGCCTTCTGGGTTGTTGCGCTGTGAAGTCTGGTCGATGTTAATCAACGTTTCAGCGGTCATACTGCCTCCGTCATCAGGGCAATGAGTATGAAGATTTCTGCCTTCTGGGTTGTTGCGCTGTGAAGTCTGGTCGATGTTAATCAACGTTTCAGCGGTCATACTGCCTCCGTCATCAGGGCGATTCCTGACGACAGCATGACCTCTCTGTGTTACCATATTTTTCCAGTACATTCTCTATAAGTGCTGGTGTCTGACAAGTGTCCGGCTGACCTCTGTCCATCAATGAATATTGCCACATTCCCTCGATGTCTGGACCAGATGGTGAAACACATTTGCATTTCGAAGGTGGTGTGCCAGATTCCTCTTTGATTCCTCAACATTACTACATGGTCAGTTGCTGATGACCATGGTTTTTACTAGTGCGTGATCTTTACTCTTTGTCAATAAACTCTTGTGCTGACAAAGCATGTCTACATATTTGCCCCATCTGACAATCTTCCTGGGTCTGTATCTCAATTACTGTAACTTTCACGAGATTTGGGTTTCTCTATATTTTTGTTTTCGATTTAATTATTCTACATGCCACTGTTGTTTGTGTCTGCCATTTTTCCCACATTCTGTACATTTTCGAGATCTTAATAAAAAATAAAATTGGTAGCTCTGCAAAAGCTAGATTATTTATATGTTTCAATTTTATAAAGACCTAAAAGTCAGTATCCTAGGCACTTGAAATTTTGTATTCTTGTGGATTATTAACGTCTACCAAAGTCTTAAAGCTTACTTAGGTTATAAACAAGAAAGTACTGCAGTTTAGGTTAGGTTATGTTAGGTTAGATTAGGTTATGTTAGGTTAGGTTATGTTAGGATAGGTTATGTTAGATTAGGTTAGGTTAGATTGTTAGGTTAGGTTATGTTAGATTAGGTTATGTTAGGATAGGTTATGTTAGATTAGGTTATATTAGGTTAGGTTAGATTAGGTTAGGTTATTAATAGTTTTGCTAGAAAAACTTTGGTATTGCAATTATACCTGGATCCTGTGCCAAATGCAGTGAAAAGAGCCTGTGACATGTTGATTATGAAGCGAAAGGGCATCTTCCTTGTGCAGGCACTGTAGTAGAGTGGGAGAACTATAAAACCATGAATAAAGAGTCCTACCAGTACAGTTGTGAAATACATCCCCATCTGCCCAACTATAACCTCAAAGCTTTCCATCTCAATCATCTTTGCAGCGACAAGGAAGAATATTCCAATTGGTGAAATCCTGCAACACGCAATGTCACAAATAGATATACAACGTTTGATCAGCATTAAGCTGAGGGGATTCATCTCTTTCTGGTAGGCAGCTAAAAGGGCTGATTTCTCTGAACACGAGTGTAATTAAATTATTTTTTCAATTATTTGATTTGTATAATTAAATATAGATTATTGTAGGATTAACACTATTAAAGACTTTAGGAAAAATAATTTCCTTATACTCTATCTAAAAAGGTCTATTTATAGTTGCTGAACTACAGTTTGTTTTTCAAAAATTCTTTCAGCATGAGAATGGTCCATGGCACACGTGAGATGAGTCCTTGTTATTATGCCATTGTCTTTTTCATTGTTGGCTCGTTGTTATAAATATATTTCGTAATCTTTATAAATGATACAGCTATTTTTAGCGTGTTGTTTAGACCCTTAGGCTATAGACTCACTGGAAATATAAGTTTCTAGTTTTATCTTCTGCATGAGTGAACATTGGACACAGCTCTTACGGACTGTTCCAGAACTATGCCTGTCCATTCACTATGCATAAGTTAACGGAGATTGGCAACATTTCTAGCGAGAGAGTTTACATGTAAACTTCAATATTAAAGGAAAATTTGTAGACGAATAAATATACAATGAAAGAAAAGTACTTATTTCACTTGGCTTGGGAGCTGCTGTAAGAGTAGTTTTCAAACCAGATATTGCTTCTAGTCCACAGTCAGATGAAAATCTTACCAGAACACGCACATATTTACAATTTCAGAACTAAATAATAAACAAGTTTAGTATCAGAACTGTATTTTACGTGTTTAAAATAGCAATTTGAAAGTATTATTAGCATATATCATACTGTTTTTAATCAACAGGTTCCCTTTTTGAAATATATATTACCTAATCACAATTTTATCCTAACATTATAATAATTTTATCAATACATTATACTGAAAAGAGAATTTATTACGATGATTAATGCTAAAATTTCTATTAATGGTATATATATATTATTATTAAACTTATTTGTATATTAAATATCCTGGGTAAATTCATGAATGGTACACTTTTATATGAAAACACCTCATAATACAAAGTTTTAAAATTGTTGGATTGAGAATAAAAATTATACAGAGTAACGCACATAATTAATCATCCCATTTGAAGTAACTGGATTTTTTTCTATTTATTAGTCTTTTTATTTTGCAGAAATAAAATATAGGCTTGGGAAATTATTATGGAACACTATACAGCCTAGCAGTGTGCAGTAGTTGTTGAAATGTTATTTCACAAACAACCGCTCTATTTCGTTGATGCAGACAGAATATTTCGGAAATTGTAACACCCGCACAGCTGCAGTAAATCTTCGACACAATTTAGCGGTTCATTTTATAATCGTACGTGCAAAGAAACTGCATTTCTTACCAAATCACCCAGTATGTGATCATCAACATGGCAGCGCCGAGAGTTTCGAAGAAGATCAGTAGTGGTTTCCCCTTTTCTCCCATCTTTGCCAAAGTGATGCCAAAAACAGTCGCAAACACTACAAGACCCAGTATGTTGGTCCCTGTTACAAAATGGGAGCTAATTTTCCAGTCCAGTAACGTAAGATTCTTGGCTGCAAGCAGAAAATATAAAACTTTTAAATATTCTTCTACAATACAAATTATCCTAGAAGTTATATGAATTATTCTACTTGTGCTGGACCATTGTCATGTGAATCATCTATTGCCCAGAAGTTGTATTTGTCCTGAGTGAACTCTGCAGTCAGCGTGATAAGAAATCGTCTGCCAGTCTCTAACGTCAATTGTTATGCAATAAAATGTCTTCATTGTTGGTACAGATATTATTTGAAGGGACAAAGAACGGAAATTGGTCACGTCTCTTTTGAACAACGCACTTACTGTAGTACCTGATAGGTGAGACAACGAAGTCGTGATATAACCAAAGTTGGGTTTACCCTTCTGGACATATTACCAACTTTGAAACTAAATGCATTTTCATGTGCCTTCTCATTCACGTGAGTAATGCCAACATTATTATTATTATTTGGGCCTAGGAGAGAAGACGATGGGGTCTGAAGAAAACTACGTAATGATGAGCTTAAAAATCTGTACTCCTCCCCCAATATTGTCAGGGTGATTAAGTCGAGGAGAATGAGATGGGCTGGGCATGTAGCGCGCATGGATGGGGCAAGAGGTGTGCACCAGGTATTGGTTGGGAAACCTGAGGAGAAGAGACCGCTGGGGAGACCTAGACGTAGATGGGAGGATAATCTCAGGCGGGATCTATGGGAGATACGAGTTGAAGGAAAATGGATTTTGCTGGACCAGGACAGGGTCCGGTGGAGGGCTTTGGTTAATTCGGTGATGAACCTTTGGGTTCCGTAAGCCATCTGCTTGGTTGGGTCCACTATTTGGGAAGCCTGAGGGGAAGAGACCTCTGGGGAGACCTAGACGTAGATGGGAGGATAATCTAAAGCGGGATCTATGGGAGATAGGAGTTGAAGGAAACTGGATTTTGTTGGCCCAGGACAGGGTCCGGTGGAGGGCTTTGGTTAATTCGGTGATGAACCTTTGGGTTCCGTAAGCCATCTGCTTGGTTGGGTCCACTATTTGGGAAGCCTGAGGGGAAGAGACCTCTGGGGAGACCTAGACGTAGATGGGAGGATAATCTAAAGCGGGATCTATGGGAGATAGGAGTTGAAGGAAACTGGATTTTGTTGGCCCAGGACAGGGTCCGGTGGAGGGCTTTGGTTAATTCGGTGATGAACCTTTGGGTTCCGTAAGCCATCTGCTTGGTTGGGTCCACTATTTGGGAAGCCTGAGGGGAAGAGACCTCTGGGGAGACCTAGACGTAGATGGGAGGATAATGTCAGGCGGGATCTATGGGAGATA